GCCACTGAAGCTGCTACAACAAGAAGAACAACAACAACTACTACTACCTAGTAGTAGCAGTAGTAGTAGTAGTAGTAGTAGTAGTCCTGCTGCTGCTGCTGCTGCTGCTGCTGCTGCTGCTGCTGCACTGCCACTCCTGCAACTCCTGCTGCTCCTGGTGCTCATGCTACTCCTTCTGCTCCTGCTACTGCTGCTACTCATGCTCATACTTCTCCTACCTCTACTGCTACTACTACTGCTGTTGCTGCTGCTACTGCTGCTGCTGCTGCTACTACTACTACTACTACCACCACTAGTACCACCTGCTCCTACTGCTATTGCCATTGGCACTGCGGATGTTGCTGCTGCTGCTACTTCCACTACTCTTGCTGCTTCAACCACAACAGCATCCTCAATCACAAGGACACACCAGGACAAGATGAATACTCTCAGTACTGAGAGCAAGAAGATCCAACCACACGACGATGACGTCTATTACCAAGACTCCGGCTAGATCTGCTGTATGTAGTCATGGCCAGATTGTTTTGATTGCATCGTTAGTTCTGCTGCGGAGAGCACTCATGCAAAGACCACATAAAGTGCAACAACAATTGTAGCATGCATCAAGAGTGGCTAGTGCAACACTACCAGTCGCAGTTTTCCTGGCCATCGTTTTTTGTCTGAGCACTGTGGAACACATCGTTGTGCACCTGCAAGGCTTATGGAAGGCGCTGGCCTCGTCCAAGATCAAGTACGAGGGCTTGAACTTGAATGAAGATCCGGTGCCGACCAACCTCTCGATGACGGCTAACGGAGTGCCTCTGCCGCCGCTGAGCGAGAAGAGTAATCAGAAGAGTCGGTTTCAGAATAGCAGTGAAGGGATGAAGGAGAGGTGCTAACATGGATATCCTTCCCTGAAGTGCTTGGAACTGACTTAGAACCCATCCAGTTTATCGAGATCCACCCGAGCACCAGGTGGGACAGCAACCGGAGGCCGGGGCGCGTGAATCCGACCCGGCTGGTCCTCGCCGTGCGCTGGGAGAGGTTTGAGGAGGTGGGGCTGCTTTAGCGGATCGAACTGGGTTTGGGATATCGAAGCCTCTGACCAGTTTCGACGATGGAAGCACCAACGTAATCAGCACTGGGCGACTAAGATCATCCCTGCACACAGACCCACACCCACCCACACCCACCCACACCCACCCACTCACCCACCCACTCACCCACCCACACTCACCTTTGGAGGTGCTGGCATAATCCATCCGAATTTTTAGCCACTGAAAGTTTCTGACTGAACAGGTTGTGCAGAAAGGCGGGCAAATCAAGATGGAATTGCTGGAGAAAGAAGGGCACGCCTACCACAAGCCAAGCGAGACAATTCCATCATGCAAAGATGGGAACACTACCGACTGCGTGAAGAGTGGCTTTGCAGTGGCCTTCTTCGAGGCGTTCGCAATGGGGGTGGCGGGCTTTTGCTTTTCTTGGCTCCAGGTGAGTTATAGCTACGACCATAGTAGAATTGTAGTCAGAACTCTTTTCCTTTCAGGTCCCAGAGAAGAGCATCCTGACGGTCGAGTTGGAGGTGAAGGTCCCAGGAGAAGCAGATATAACGCGTTCTTGGCTCGTCGAAACCGCCGATGCCGGCTCGGGAGACGCGCAGGCAAGGATTGCTTTCCTTTACCAAAACCATTCGGAGTACCAGAAGAAGTGGCGGCCTCTCGACTTATCTTCGGTGCTCTGCTGCCTTTGATGTAGTCATGATGCGAGGCTTGTTATCACTTTGTTACACGACACGGTGTAACGTGCGGTCTATAAAGAGGACATGGAATGTAAATCAGGCTAGACCAGACCAGAATGTAATTGAAACTTGTTATTCGAATGTGTGTATGTCTGTGTGTCTGTCTGTCTGTCTGTATGTCTGTCTGTATGCCTGTCTGTATGCCTGTCTGTATGTCTGTCTGTATGTCT